ACAGCCATCCCCGCCATCACCACCAAAGGGGAGAAAGGGAATAAGGAGAGAGGATGACGATCCCGATGATCAGATGCGAGTGGGTGCCGACTATGATTATGACATCTTTATAGCTTACTACAGTAATATATAGCGTGCTGTTAGAGTTGTAGCGACCACCCAATTGAGCGTTTCTTTTAATCAGTGTCACCCCAAACAAGACAGTACAACCACTAACACGCAAGGGATTACAAGGTGGAATTAGGTTTGGTTTGTTGTGTTTTACGGCATATCAACCCAATGGGTTATTTAATGCCAACAACTCTTTTTCTGGTAATATTTTGTTTTGTCTAAAATCTATTTCTGGTAATATCTTTTTCCACAAAAATGTATAGCTAGTAATATTATTTTAAAACACGTATTGCTGGTAATATTTTTTTTCAAAAACGTATTGCTGGTAATTTTTTTTTTCAGAAATATATTGCTGGTAATATTATTTTTTTTCTTCAAAAATTTATTTCTGGTAATAATTTTTTACAAGTTATTTCTGGTATTAAAACCTATTTTTACACTTTTATAATGCTTTTTACCTCAGTTTTGGGGCTATTTGCTCATAGCTGGGATCCAAACAGGTGCTACCAGCTCCGGGTGAGGTTGGACTGGGGAACACCAGCAATTAAGAGGTGGTTCCACGCTCCTCAAAATCTCCTGATCAGAGGCCTTGCTGTTGAGCGTAGTATCATCTTACGCAAGACTCTGATGTAGTTTATCGTCGTACCCAGGACGCGGATGTAGTTTATCGTCATACCCAGGACGCGGATGTATTTTATCATCATACCCAGAACGCGAAGGTGGAATTAGAAACACAAACATTAGTAATGAGTAGAAAGAGAAAAGAGTATTCAGAAACACAATAGATAACGATTGACATTGCATTTGAATTCTTGCAAATTAAATTTGGTTGGAAAGCATGAAGCCAAAAGAGAGTTCCACAAGTGAGAGGTGCGCGAAAAGAAACTGTCAGCATAGAAGTTCCGGCTATATCTATCTAGCTAAACTGTAAATTGATGCGATCTCGCCTCCAGACTAGCATTGCGCTTAAATCCATACAGTCTCGGTACCATAGTATAGAGACAATCTGAGCAGTTACATTGAAAGTATTTTTTTAAGGCTACAGAGAGGCAACCTTACGACGGTGGGCAAGTGACTAAAACCGAACCGTCAGATCAGGACCAATAATATTGTTGATTTTTCTTTGGATCTTATCTAGGAGCTCCAGATAAATCGCAGGAGCACCGGGCTATATATGGCAGCAATATTCTAAGCATGGACGTGTGATAGTCTTATAGATACACAAGATAGATTCCGAAGAGAAAAATTGTCTTGCTCTACACAGTGGACCGAATTTCTTAGCATCTGATCTGGCGATGGATTCAGTAGTGTTTCCACTTCATGTCAGTTGAGAATGTTAGCTCGAGAAGCCACAATGAGTCACTTTCATGAAGGTTAGCATCAGCCATGCTGATGGAAGGCAGAGAGGGTCTCTCAGATAATTTATAAAGAGAAGTTTAGTTTTTAAGGTGTTAAACTTAAGCTATCTTTTTCCCCAGTTAACCACGGTTTTGTATATCAGCTGCCATTTTGACCATGTCGGACTGATCAGCTATAGTATCGAGGCAGGAGTAAATGGTAGTTTTGTCAGCGTAGATGCCATGTTGAGTGTTGCTATCATCGGGAAGGTCGTTAATGTAGATTAAAAAACAGCGTAGAATCAAGGAAGGCGTCCTGGTAGACAACTGCTTTTGTACGAAAGGGTGTAGACGAGTCGCCGTTCAGGATGACTTTCATTTCATGATTTTATAGGAACGACTGGATCAGCTCAAAAATGTGCCCGGGGATACGGTAAGTTGTGAAGAAGACCTGAATTCCACACCCTGTCAAAGGCTTTCAAGATGTCCAATGTTACAGTCTGGGCTTCGCCATTTTTATCTATAGAATGGTAGACTCTTTCCGCAATTATCGTTAGTACATCAGCATTTGACCTGGAGAAACGAAAACCGTGTCGCCTTCGAGAGTCAATCAAGGTAAAGGGTTACTAAAAGAGGAGCGTGAGCTGATTGAATGTGAAAGGAGGTAGTAGGAAAAGTGAATATTATTAGGATAAAGAGGAGAGATAACAAGTAACTTTATATGGTTAAGATTGTAGGGGTCAAGGATGCATTCACGCGGGATTCTATTCTACAAAATAGCTTTTCATGGGTCAAAAAGCGGTCTGATTATGAAGATTAGGAGGATAGTTAACGATAACGATTGACCCTTGACTTGAAGATCGCAGTTTTCAAAGGGGGAAAATGTCTGAGTGGACTATCTTCCTTACAATCGGAATAGGGAAGGAATAAGACTGATTCGACTCAGTGGACGTAGGTATAAAAAAAATATGAACTGGTGGGACTAACGAATGGAATGTAGCTGAACATTCGCCGCTGAATTAATGATAGGACAGGAATAGGATTGCGATATTACGTCTGTGAGGAAACTGGTTGTAGAGTGAGCAATAAATCCTCTCCCCACGAGACGGAATAAACGATTTTGAAGTCTTTAGTGTGTAGATTGAGCAGCTGCAGATCAGATATGACAAGACTGCATTTTTGGTCTAATCTGACTCTTGTAAAGATTTCGTACATTTCATACGAATGGCAAAGTCAGCAAGTATAATGTTCGCATTTGCAAGGGAAGAAAATTTCCATGCCACAGTTGGGTACATGAGGAACTCGCCGAAAGTGAATGTCTTCTGCGAAAGATATGGTTCAACATCTACCCAGGAATCACTCTTTGCCGGAATAAAGTATTCTACACGATACTTGGTAACTACCCCAAAATTTTGGCACATCTATCTATCTATCTATCTATCTATCTATCTATCTATTTTTCTGTTTATCGTTTTCTCTTTTCAATCAATAAATCAGTCTGTCTATCTATCTATCGTTTTCTCTTTTCAATCAAGAAACCAATCTATCTATCTATCTATCTATCTATCTATCTATCTATTTTTCTGTTTATCGTTTTCTCTTTTCAATCAATAAATCAGTCTGTCTATCTATCTATCGTTTTCTCTTTTCAATCAAGAAACCAATCTATCTATCTATCTATCTATCTATCTATCTATCTATCTATCTATCTCAGTTTATCCACGAATCATCTTTATGGGCCGTTTTTTTTTAGGGAAAATTGGCCGGCAATGTATATCTGCAAATGCTTCGGAACCGGTTATTTGATGGGCTCATTGCTAATGAGCATGAACCTTCATTTTTCTACGGGATATGGCTCCACCTCACTGTAAGCTGATGGTTCAGACTTATCTCAATGAGAAGCTACCAGAAAGATGGATTGGGGATGCCAATGTTAATAACAATGTACTGTTGAAATTGCCAACACGTTCACCTAACTTCACACCTTGTGATTTTTTCTATGGGGCTATGTGAAAGGACAGGTCTATATAGGTCCTCTTCCTACAAACCTAGAGTTGCTGGAGAATGTTACGCAAGACATGCTACAGCGTGTTTGGCAGGAGCTGGGCTACAGACTTGACGTGTACCATGTCACAGGTGGAGTGCATATTCAGCATTTGTGAAATCGGTTATAAAATTTATATCCCTTTGAATTTTTTGTTCGAATTTTGAGGAATATTTTTTTTATTGTTCAATATTTAATTTTGTTTGCCTGGGACATATAGTTAGTTACTCTGATATTCACATTTAAATTTTGTCAATTTTGGAGAGACACCCTGTATTTATGAGCATTCTTAAAGTTAAAACTTTTAAAAGACTAAAGGCTTTTTACTTCTGCTTATAAATATATACTAGTTGCAAAATAACGTAATAGTTCCGTTCCCAACTGCTCATAATAATTATAAACGTATCTACAAAAGTGTTAAGTATTTGTTGGTTAAATGAGACACCGAAGAGCCTCTAAAAAGTGTTGTTCTCAAAACTAATGGCGGCTTTTTATCAATGTGTTAAATAAGATATAATATTCCTCCTCTCAATTTTAACATCTTTGTTTAATAAGGCAGACTGTTTTGCTCGTAAATTCTCTTCCAATTCTACTTTTGTACGCATCTGTAGTATCTTTTCTTGTCATTCCACTTAGAATTGAGTCTTTACTAAGTGATATACATATAACTCAGTCCATGGTTTCTGCTATTGATGTGGATTTGATGGCATATCTGCAATAGTCCTTAGTCCATAGATAGATAGATAGATAGATAGATAGATAGATAGATAGAAGCAAACTGAGATGTAGAAATATGGAGAGAAAAAGAGAGCCTGATGATCAAATTTAAACAGAGAGAGATATGAACAAACTGAGATAGATAGATAGATAGATAGATAGATAGATAGATAGATAGATAGATAGATAGATAGATAGATAATCTGAGTAGACTGAGGTAGAGAATATATATATATATATATATATATATATATATATATATATATATATATATATATATATATACAAATCCCTATATATAGAGATGGACATAGAACGATAGATCTTTTTTCATCTTGTTAAATTTTTTATTGCTTGTTCATCGTCCCAAAGAAATGAACTAGAAAAAACGTTATGGTCGACATCAAAAGCGCTTCTAAAATAATTTTCATTATGCTTACCGTTTTTTAAAACATTTTCCTTAAATGAAAATCTAAGAATTTCAAGAGGCCCATTTTCTCTTTCTAATTCTACGTAAAGCATTCCTGTAAAGTGACTAATTGCATATGACTGCTTAATTCCTGAAGAAATCTCCTTCAAATAAATTGGTTTGTATTACGTAATTGGACTTGGGCATTAAAAGAATGTTTTCCTATTTCCAACTGGATTATTTTGACTGTATTCTTTTGTTATTAATCCAGGAATGGGAAAAATGAAAACTCTACTACTTGTTTCCGCATTCGCAACATTAGTGCTTTGCATTCGTATATTTTCAGAAATATTTATATGCAGATATCTAAATAAATATATATCTATAAGATAGATAGATAGATAGATAGATAGATAGATAGATAGATAGATAGAGAAATAGATAGAAAGAAAAACGACGGAGAAAGAAAGAAAGAAAGAAAGAAAGAAAGAAAGAAAAAAGAAAATAAACAGGGACAATGAGAAAGAAAGAAAGAAAGAAAGAAAGAAAGAAAGAAAGAAAGAAAGAAAGAAAGAAAGAAAGAAAAATAAACAGGGACAATAAGAAAGAAAGAAAGAAAGAAAGAAAGAAAGAAAGAAAGAAAGAAAGAAAGAATTGAATAGATAGATAGATAGATAGATAGATAGATAGATAGATAAAGAAACGACGGGGATAAAAGAAAGAAAGAAAGAAAGAAAGAAAGAAAGAAAGAAAGAAAGAAAGAAAGAAAGAAAGAAAGTATTGAAGATAGATAGATAGATAGATAGATAGATAACCATCTGATATAAAAGAAAGAAAGATAGATAGATAGATAGATAGATAGATAGATAGATAGATAGATAGATAGATAGATAGATAACCATCTGATATAAAAGAAAGATAGATAGATAGATAGATAGATAGATAGATAGATAGATATGAGCAGACTGCGATAACGGGTGAGAGAAAAGAAAGAAGAAAGAGACTGAAATGGATAGATAGATAGATAGATAGATAGATAGATAGATAGATAGATAGATAGATAGATAGATAGATGTGCCAAAACTCCAGCGGTAGGTGCCTAGTATCATGTATGGCCTACTTTATCCCGGTAAAGTGTAGTTGTTCCTGTGAAGATGTTGAGCCATACCTTTTTGATAGCCGGCCACACTTCCCTGATATTTCTAGGCGAACAGCTCTCTTTCCCTAGATTTATAAATGCTTGATTGGCCTCATGCTAGGCCAAAGTGCTGCCCTTGTTACTCATTAGGAGAATCTAGAATGTTCCTATTCTGGGTAACTTCGGCCTGATGTCACGGTGTACCATCTTGATGGAATAATTCATAATCTTTGAAGAAAATTCAAATTATCATTAAACTTGAGAAATATCATAAAATTAATACCATTCCATCTACAGTATTCAAATAAATTAATCATATTTTACGACAGCACCCAAATTGTCTCTGTCTATATTTCTGAGATGAGGTATTATGTACATTATTTACATTATTCGGACTATTGTCCTCATCTTTGTCACCATTTGTTTGTTTTTTTTTGTTTTTTTTTAAGCGTTTCACCCCAAGGAAGGCGATAAGCCACTAGTACGCAAAGGGTTACAGAGAATTGGAGTGAGACCAAATAGGAGTGATAGATGAAAGGATGAAGAGGAGGATAGGGAATAGATCAAGGCATCTGGAGACGTCGTTGGAGATTATAGCTATCAGAGAAACAGGAAAAGGGGAGGGAGTTCCACAGGCGAGAGGTGCAAGACATGAAGCTATTGGAGTAGAAGAGACGGCTACATTTAACAGTTTCGGCAGTGAAAGGGTTTGTACAAAAACTTTTTTGTACTTGTAAACAATCTTTAAGCAGAACTTGAAGAAGACAGACATACTGTTGAAAATATTGTTGAATTATTATTATTTATCAAGCACTGTCTTTTTTAAAATCGCACTCTTTTCTAAACGCTTTCAATAACAATAATAAATGCCCTGATTGGAGTTATTAACATCTATATGCTTTGTCTTTGTGAATTAACATGAGCTACAGTAAATATCCCGGCCAAGTACTACAGATTTTCTTGTCACTTGCCTGTCCTGAATCAGTTGGGTATGATCCTGAGGGTGTGACGCGCTGTTCATATCTGTTCATGAGTCGTAGGACGGTATCATGGCCGAGTATCGAGAGAGTCGGGTTTTTTTTTTTAATGTGATTTCGAATCACATCTCAGTACTTGAGAAAGACGCTCAATCGGGGAGCGTCTGAGCAGATTGAGTTACCCGACCTGAAGGTATTTCTAACTGAGTCGCTCTTGCAAGGTTACGCGCAGGCTGCTCACGTCAAGACCTGTCACAATATCGCGCAAATTTGGCTATGATGAATGAACCTGGTATATCCTTATCAGATTGGATGTCATGATCGGTAGATTGGGTTTCATATATATGTACAGCAGCGTAACTTTGTTGGTGTGCAGCTTTCTACATTTTAGACGCTTTTGTCTTTTTACAAAAGAGATAAAGTATGATTTATGTGATTTTGTTAATTATAACAGGAAGGAATTATACAAAAATCTGTCGACTGCATTATGAGGGACGCTTCGAAAATAATACTTGCAATTCATGTCTACATAAGCGACATCAGATAACGGGCGATTAACATGATGATTGTAAAAGAAAAAGCATGTTTTCAGCTCCAAAGCACTTTTTTCCACACAGCGGTGTCGTTGCTGCGAAAATGTCTCCCAGCCCAACAATCTGTCATCTTCAGCCTCATTGTGGTTCAGCAGTTCTTGACAGATTTAATTGGATGGTCTTTCTGCTCTTGTGTGGGGATTTTCTAAGCGTAGCCGTGGCACAAGACCTAAAGTATAGGACACCCAGTAGTGATCGAATTCACTATTCAGTCGTAATTGATCTAATAAGACACGCTTGCTAACACCACGTCGAAGGACCCCAAATGATTTTCTAAACGTAGCTTACATGTGGAACAAGGCCGTAAGTGAGGAGCACCCAGTGAGCATCAAACTCACTACTCAGTCGTAATTGATATAACAAAACAAGATAGCTAACAACATCGAAGTGTCCCTTCCTGTTCTTGTGTGTGGTATCTGTGGAACCCACCTGACACAAAATTTCCAAAATTGCCAGCTTCGTTTTCAGAATTCAATCCAAATCAGTATCCTGGTCGTCATACGCCAATTCGATCGGATGACCTAATGAAGAAGTGCTTCATGTCATGAGTTGACAGCTGTAAAGAGACACTCGGAATGTGGCTTGTCACAGCACGGTTGCCACTGCTGACCGCCTGTGCCCACATCCATGTTCAGCAAATATCAAGTGGGTACATTTTTCTTTAGGTAAAGGAATTCAGCAATACGAGTAAGCACTTTTATGTCATACGGCATTCTGCCATACTGCAGCTCAACTGCTATCTGTAACAAGGTAAAAATATAGATTCTTGGCGGAAAGCTTCAACCTCTACAACAGGGTCCCAAAACTTTACGTCAATCGATTTTTCATGGAATTTCTCAGCGGCTCCCATATGCAAAAATACACTATTATAATTGTGCTTGTCCATCCTTTCTTTCCTTCACACTACCGTTACGCCTTGCCAATAAATCAATTTTGATCGCATAGAAAGAAGGGAAAATACACAACTTGGTTTCAGTGAGAAATTAAAGAAAGAGAGGAAGAAAGAAGTAGAGTGAGTGAATCAGATTAAGCTGATGGGGACAGATATTACACTTTGATCTATGTCAAAAGGCCGAGAAACGATTGTAATTTTTTGCCGCCCTACGTTGGCAGAATGTGACACAAGGTCAATTTAATGTGAGAGGCTAGAGCGCATAGCTATGGCAACCAAGAAAAGAGAAGCCATTTTCAGATGTACAGTATCGAACGATGGAAACTGAGTAAGGCAATCTCCAAAAATTCTGTTCCCATAAATAAAATAACATCTTTCCCTTATTTATTTATTCATTAATTCTTATTAAGAGAAATGTTCGTAAAGCGGGGATTTGACTAGAAAAAAAAAAGAAAAAAGAGAAGAAAGAAAGTAGTGTTTAACGTTTCTTACAGTGAAATGGGAAAAGTTGTTAATTTAAAATATTTTCATTTGTACTCCCTTACTTCTTAAAATAATGACCAGCATTCATATTTATGATTGTTATTGCAATATTTTGTTAAAGTTTTTAAGTTCAAATATTTAACGACGTGAGAGGGAAATTTCTATGAATATTTTATTGTCGTAGAAATCGCCACGAGCTTATTCAGTCATTAACTGAAGAATTAAAATTCACCAGAAATTTAGAATAGTAAAAAATCGTGAAATTTTTCACGGGTTTTCCTACTCATTAATAATTATATTTTTATTTAAGGGTAGAAATTACTTTTTATCATTTCTTTTATTATTGTTTCCCGAATAAGATTCATTTTAGATTTCTGCTTTGTTATTCCCTTTTCAATTTCAATTTCTCTTCATATAATAGATGTGTTTTGATCGAATAATAAAAGCGGTAACTAGTAAAACCCGAAAACTTGGCAATCGTATCTAGCTACGTTGGAACAATATCAACCGGAAGTCATCTGAGCAGACTGGGTTACCCAACCTATTTCTAACTTGGCCACACCTGCAAAATTACAGTGAAGGAAAGAAATACACCATGATTTTTTTTTTTAACATAGATTTTGTAAAAGAGTTTCATAATCCGTACAATATTTGTATACTCTGACATAACGCTGCAATATGCAAAAAAAATTTAGAAAAATTTGTTATATTAATGAAATTATATAAAATAAAAAATTTAGAGTCGAAAAAAAGTATTCGTATAAAATTATACAGTGTAACCCGGATGTAAGAGAGTTGTCGTGACCGGAGAAGAAGTCTCTTATATCCGGGTTTCTCTTATATCCGGGTTTGGTCTATTTTATATACATTAACACAGGCTCTAATTTAAATAGAGAAAATCTCTCTTATATCCGGGTTTCTCTTATATCCGGGTCTCTTATATCCGGGTTACACTGTAATATCTATTTAATACTTTGTAGCATATCCCTTACTCAATTCAACAGCAGTCAGTCTCTTTCTGCAGCTTTTCATCAATGATTTGCAAGTTTCCTTTGATATTTTACTTTATTCTTCTTTGCATATTCTCTTTAAGTCCAGTTTGTTTTTCGGGGCTCTTTTAACAACTTGAATCTTTAATAAACACCACAAATTCTCTATTGAATTCAAGTCTGGAGACTGTGGTGGCCATTCGTGTGTATTGACAATGTTTTCAATAATTCATTTTTATTTTTGTAGATTAAACCGTATATTTAGGATCATCTTGTTGCAAAACCCATTCATTTGGGATGTCAAAGCTTTACTACTGACCTAAACAAATTCGAATTAAAAACATCTTAGTATATTTTTGAATTTATTCCATCATCTATTATCTCTAAATTACCTGAACCAGAAAAAGAAACAGAAAAACAATTCAATTTTTGCTTCATCTCTATCTATAAAAGGCAGGATGTGTGTGTGTGTTTGTGTGTGTGTGTAATGAATGCACGGCCGCAATTTTCGACGGATTTGCACCAAAATTTACATGCACATGCTCCAAGTTAGCGGGAAGGCCAAGACCGATTTTGCATTTCCCAACTCCCATCGATAGTGGAAATAATCAATTTTTTCATGCTTCTACGGCAGTTTTCATGTAGTTTGCGGCCATTTTTTCTACTGGCCAGAGTGAGAGCCAACAGCTGACTGACACGAATGTTAACTAGCATGCTAGAATGCAAAAAAAAAAAATCGATAGCTGCATTCGTCACAAGTAGAAAAAATTTAAATCTGCATGGCACTTTACTCCAATTGGCTCATTCGCTTGCTTAAACTCAACGTTGATTCTGATTCCGCAGAACTGGGTTGGGTGTGAAAAAGTATTTATTGATAAAATTCTTTTTTCATTCGGTTTTTCCAGTTACGCGTCCTTTTTTAAAGCTGATCGTTTTGTGTTTATTTTGTTTAGTTCTTTTTTCGTAACAGATTTAATGTTTAGTATAGAGCTTAGAAAAAATTCGCAGTGTGAGATAGGCAAGAAGT